TATATATATATATATATATATATATATATATATTCAGAATACAGTAATGGGGCATGTCCATCATTTTACAATAGTAATTGCTTCGTTTGCAGATTATTTCTTAACTACACGCACCTACTATACTTGATATGAAAATTGTAACAATTTTAAGGTATAATAATATTAATTAAGGTTTAATCATTGTAGACAAAATAATTTGAGAACTTTTTCTTTCCGTTGTCACTTTGACAACGGTGTTCAATACACTGATCAACGCACGGTGTTGATCAGTTAAATACTCATAATAGGACGACGGCTGATAAAGGTGACACATGTTGCGGGGCATCGTGTGTCACGAAGCTTCGAGTATAATACACGTGTTAATCAGTTTGAGATGCAATGTTTTGTATTAAACGATTTAAAAATTTGCTCTATCAGATTATAATGACAAAAAAGAGGCAGTTAAAATCGAGTTTATTTTGTATTTTAAATAATTAAGTACAAAATATTAAGTATCTTTTTCTTTGGTACAAATTAATTTTCAATACATTTTTTAGATTATTATAAAATTATTTTTAACAAAGAATGGGTTGTTCTAAGTATGGCTCAATCAGCTAGAGTGCTCTTTAAACTAGTGATGGGCATAATCGAGATATATAATCGAGATATCATGAATATCATATTGAGTGAATATCATATATGAGATATCATGGATATATTATGAAAATAATCGAGATATTTCGATTATTGAAATCATATCTATTATATAATCGAGATATTCTGATTTTTTAAATAATATTGATTATTCTATAATCGAGTGATTATTTCTAATGATTTCTCGTTTATTATAAAAACAATGATTTCTTGATCTTGAAATGTATATAATCGAATAAAAGTTATTTCGAATGATGTCCATGAAACGATGAAACAAGAGAATACTATTTTTAAGTTTTTATTTAGCATAAATTATAGTCGAATTATTATTAAATTGTTGACTTCGAGTCTTCTTATTTTCAACTCGTTCAATCGCTACTCATGACAACACCTTATCTGTCACATTTTTGGGAAGTATGTGACGATTAGAACAAAGTTTTGTCCTGAACTGGCTAAACTACTGAGTTCTGATTCTATCACTAGTTGTGAATTTATGAAAAATCAATTAGGTGTGGAATCAGGTGTTTTAATTATGATGGTCAAGCCGGCTATTGCTACCTTATCTTATGTTTTTATTTTTAAATTTGTTATCGGTTTTTTTAAAATATAGGTAATAATTATTAAATAATAAAAATAACAACTTGTCTTTTATTTAAAGCACTTATTAATAATGCATTATTAATATATTATTGTTATTATTATTCCTAAATTATAGTTTAATATAATAATTATAAATAAACACCAACAAATAAAAAAAGCAAAATTAAATTAATAATTATTTACTATAGGTATATTTATTCATATTTCGAATAATTTTTCGATTCTCTCGATAAATAATAATAATTGATTATTCTTATCATACGAGCAGACGATTTTAACTTCGAGTGATTTTTCGAGAGATTCACTCGATTACTAATCATTCGATTATCGAAATCATTCGATTATGCCCATCACTACTTTAAACAGTTAGTCCCAGTTTTCACTAAGACTCGATAAATAGCTAAGTTGACACTCTAATTGATGCCATTGATAAGATTAAAAATTGTTTCTTATACTTAGATAGGTGGGAGACCGAGGCTATATGTCAGACGGGTTGGTTATCGTTATATTAATTATTACAAACTAGACATTACGGATCATCATAAGTAAGACAATGTTTTCATAAAAGTTCTAATTATTTTTGTATTGACAAGGTGCAGATTAAAACCGTTAATAAGATTTTATATACAAAAAACAAAATTTGGTTTTGTTACTTGATGTTTATCATTAAATTATCTAATTCAACACTTCATATAAACAGTGTCTTTAAGTATACTTTTATGTATCGTTTTCAGCTATTTGTTTAAGTGGTAAGATTCTACAACTTTTATTTCGAGTAATGCAATGGGACTAGTTATCACAAATAATTTTAGTGAAACATTTATAGCTTCGATGCGAAGATGGAAAGGTATTCATTTTACGATGAATTTATGATGTTTTTTTTTTTTTTTTTTTGTCTATTACCCACTTTTTTTAGCTCTTACTAAATCAATTTCTTTCTACGATATGTCAAAACATCACAAAGTATATCTAGTAAAGAAATTACCCTCAAAAATTAAAAAAAAATTTCTCTAGTATTCCATAAATAGAGAAAATTTCCCCAAAAATGCTTTTTTTTTAAATTAATAATTTTTAAAACATTTTTTACATTAACTGCTATAACTTTTTATGAACTATATAAATCTAAACTAATTTTATTTGTAAAAAACCATAGGTGTTTACCTATTATTTGGTATACTTTGAAAATATAACAATTTATTTGCTCATAGGGGGTTTTAAAATAGGAACTCTTTTACAAAATTTAATATTTTCATCCTAATTTTTTTAATTTTCCAGAAATACTGACATTTATATATATATTTTTAAATAAAACTTATGTAATATTAAGATTAAAAAAAAAAATTGACCTCTGGTCATGTCTCTGTAGTGAAAATAGACATTAAAGTTAAAGAAAAAAGTACATTTCATAATTACTCATCACATTTTATGTTTAGATCATTCAAATATTTTAGAACTATGTAATTGTAAAATAAACCAAGGAGTTCAATTTTACAAATCAATAACGCACCTGAAATGTAGAAAATTAAAAAATAATTATTAATTACAAAATAAAATTAAACTTAATGTTTAAATTTAAAAATAGATTACAATATAAAATATAAATATTTACAAATATTATACTAAGTGAATTAAAGTTCAAAATAAAATATCTTATACAATAAATCGAAAATTAAGCTTGTTTGTTAGTTGTTCTGGTAACTGTAGATGATCCATCTACAAACTTAGTTCGAAATAAGACATTTGCATTGCTGAACATACCATCCTTGAGAGATACTACTATAAATTGAGATTGTTTAAAGTGTTGTTTTAACATTTTACCAATATTTTGAGTATGAGATAAATCTAATGCAGCATCTACTTCATCCAAAATGTATAAAGGTACTGGGTTAAATAATAACATTGCAAGTAATAATGACAACGCAACTAAAGATCTTTGACCTCCACTCAATTCTTCCAAACTATCTTTCCACAATCCATTAAAAGCTACACGAATTTCTAAACCAGCAGTTATATCATCAGGATTTACTTGTCTCAAACATGCTTGAGCACCTGGTAATACACTGCTAAATATTTTACCAAACTCATCATTAACACGATCAGCAGCACGTTCCAATGTTTGTCGTTTTTTAACTTCAAGCTCTTCAATTATTTCATTTATTTTATTTTTATCTTTAACAATCAAATCAAGTTTAGCAAGTAGTCTATTATATTCTTGGATATGTTTATGAAAATTATTTAATTTGCCAGGATCAACTACTTTTGAAAGTTGATCAAACTTAGCTTGAAGTTCTTCTACTAATTGCTTGCATTCTCCTAAAGATATAAATTAATTATAAGTAAACTTATTTTTATACTGTAAAATTTATTAACTCATTTGTTGGGCTACTAGAAGCGAACAAGAATTTTTTTTTTTTAATAATGATTGTAGTTTTAAAATAAAACAGTGAAATTACCATCAAAATTATGTTAGCTACAAAATTAATAAAAAATCGATTTTAAGTGGTCCAACCCAACCCAAACAAAAAATAATAATAATTTAGGACTAATTAATACTATTTTTGAAACAAAAAATTGTTGTGTGAATTAAAAAAAACTTAATAGAAAACAGTTCTCAATTAAGCTTAGATAAGGCGAGATTTAATATAGCAGGGACTAGATCTAACTGTAACCAATATAAATTAGAATCTAATAGTAATATAATTAACTATAATAAAATGTTTCAATTATGTATCAATATAGTTTTGAGAATTAATTTTTTTTGAGCGATGTGTTCATATGCTTATGTAGCAATTGAAAATAATATAAAATGATATATCCCATACATCAAATTGTTAACTTCAATCCCTAATTTCTTCCCACACCCTATAGTCAAAAGCATCTAAAATTTTGTATAAGTTCATTTCACAAATATTACTACTAAATGGTATATGTGTCACCTGTATATCTATTCATCAATATACAATGTTTACTTGTTAGTGAAAAAAAATGCACTGTACAGCACAAATGTAAGGATAATTTCTTTAAGAGGGCACTAGATACAATTTCTAATTTTTCGACATATCAAAAATCAATACTGATCAATTATATAGACAAACACAAAAAAAGTATAGTACTCCCAGTAATCCTGCACTCATAGTAATTCAGCTATTTTTTGTTAAAACCAGTATTATCATAACTACGATTTTCATAAAGAGGAATTGATGGAAACATAGTACAAAGATTCAGATTGTTTTGTTGTATTTTATCATTATTTTTTTTGATAATAACTTACATCTTTAAATGATTAGTAATTATAAAATTTAATGTTGGTATGTAAATTGATAATAATTAATGTGAATCATGAAAATAATAAAACTACAAAAGTATTTATTATAGCTTTCCATTAGTTTAGTCTTTTCATTAAAGTGGCATTGCTCTGATTTAATATTTATCAAATGATCAACACTTATTTTATCATATTATATCATTATAATTATAATGATATAATAATAAGTATAAAAAAGCACATCATAATAAAATCATTATAAAAGAACCCAATTATAAAAACATATTTAATTATAATTGAAAGAAATATAGTTAACTAGAAAAATTAATGATCCATTTTAATTTATTTTAAAATTTTTGCTTACTTTCCAACTATACAGGTTGTAGACAACTGTACAACTAGCATTTTTTTCTATTTTCATAAACAATTGTTAAATCATTAGGGAATTAAAAATAAAAGAGGTGCCAATAACCACCTTGCTATAAATTTATATAGATATAAAACTAGCAAAGTCATATTATTTATTTTTTGTTTTTATTTTAGTTAAAAATTGAGTTGAATACTTTTAAAAAAAAATATTATAAAGAAGACATCAAGCTGTAATATGTATATTGGGCGACAAAGACCAAACTAGTGTATAAGAAATGATATGAAAAAAATAAGAGACACAGTATAGGATTTTAACCAGGATTAAAACATTGTTTTTACCTGCCTGGCTATTTTACACTTGTCATATGAGGTCTAATATACCTTTATTAAAGCTAACAGTATTCAAACTAGTTGCAGCTGAGGAAACAACAGTACTATGTTAGCTCACCTGAATTGAAATTAGTGTAATCCATTCTTTTGGCTATTAATTTTTGGTCATCCGACAGTCTATTTTCAAGAATATCAAATTTTTTCTTTAAATCCTCTAAAACTTGAATCATTTTTTTTTTCTCGCCTTCCAATTCCAACAATTGTATTTTATATGTTTCAACATCTGCCATTAATTGTTTATAATTGTTGTTGGTTTGCTCAATTTCATTAGTTTTGCGAAGAACTATTTCTTTTTGTGCTTCATAATTTTCACATATTTCTTTATACGTTTTGTTAGATTCTTCTAAATCTTTTAAATGACCTTCGAGTTCTTTATTTATTTTATCCACCTCACAATTTAATTCTGATAACTGATTTTCTTCATCTTGCATTTGACTCATTAAATCTTTAACTTCTAATTCTAATTTATTATAATTATTTTTCTTTTTGTCAAAATCAGCCTTTGCATTTTTGATTTTTGCAAGAATACTTTTACGCGTTTTTTCTGCATCATTAAGTTGTTGCTTCAGTATGTTTTTAGCATTTTTTAGTTTAACTTCCAAGTCTTTAATTTTAGCTAGCAGATTTTTTTCTATTAATTTTCCTTCAGCTAGTTTTTTTTCAAGATCTGCTAATTGCTGTTTAATATCATTTACTTCAGTGACTTGTTGATGAGGTTGCCCTAAATGTACATCTGATTTTATTTTTTCTAATTCTTCATGAACAGTCAATTGTTTGTCCCTTAATTCTGATACTTTAAAAGGCAAATTAGCCATTTCCTTGAGTCTATTGTCCAACTGTGAAATTTCAGATTTCTTGTTTTGCAGTTGTGATACAACTTCATCTTGTGTGGCTAATAATTGCAGTATAAGTTTTTGAGTGTTAGCACCTCCGGTTAAACTACCAGAGGGATTAAAATGATCACCTTCCAGAGTAAAACAATGTCTATTTACTCTATTATCAAAGCATACTTTTTCAGCTATTTCTTTTGAAGTACAAATAAAGGCTTGACCAAATATCCATTGCATAGCTTTTGCATGTTTATTATCATATTTAATAAGAGACATAGCAGGGAAAACATTATTAGTACCACCAATTTGTTGAGCGATTCGTATTACATTGGGAGGCAATGATTCAGATTTAATTTTACTCAAAGGAATAAAATTCATACGGCTTTGAAATTTATTAGTCTCTAATATATCCTTACCAACAGTATCATCTTCAACAACAATAAAGTGTAATTTACCACCTGCTAATGTTGTAAGTGCTAATTCAAATTTAAAATCAATTGGTTTAAATAAGCGACAAACAAGACCATGTACTTTACGACGATCAAAATTAGACCGTGGATCATTGTATTTAAAAAACAGATATGGATAGTTGGATTCAAAAGATTCATTTCTTGAATTCAAATCACGTATTTCTCTAAATATGTTATCTCGGATTGTTTTTATATTATTATGATTACTTAATTCTTTCTCAGCCTTCAAAAATTCATTAGTAATTTTCTCATACTCTTTTTCTTTAGCTGTTAATTGTGCCATTTGTTTATCATATAATTTTTGTGCTTCTTTCATACCCGATAAGTGCTCATTTAATTTTTTTTTTAAACCATCTATTTTAATAATACACTGTTGGTTTTCTGTTTGTTGATTTTGCAATTCTAAATTAAATTTATTCAAATTTTCTTGAACAGAGCCATTGTCTTCTTCAGCAAAAATATTACCTGAATTTAATGACCTGATTTTTTGATCAATTTCATCTAAGTCTTTAGTATTTTTATTATTTTCTTCATCTAGCCCTGCATTCATTTCATTGAATTCTTCCATCTCTTTTTTCTTTGCCTCAAATTCCTTTTTACTACTATTTATTTGCTTTTCCATATCTTTAATTTTTTTTTGTTCGGATTTTAAATTATTTTTTGAACCATTTACTTTTAATTGTATAGTATTTTTTTCTTCTTCGGTTTTATCCACATCTGCCTTTAATTGTGATAATTTACTATCACGTTCTTTTTCCATAGCTTCTTCACTTAGTTTTAACTGATTTTTCATTAATTTAATCTGTTCTTCTGATGATGTTATACAGTCAATTTTTTGTTTCTCTCTTTCTTCTAAAGCTTCTAGTTCTTGACTTTTAGTCTTAACAATTACTTCTAATTGAACATATGACCAATTATCAAGTTTCTCTTTTTGTACTCTTAATTGACCTTGGACCATATTCAATTCTTCCAACATTTGTTTTTCCTTATCAACTGATGCCATGGTTGGCAAAATTTCTTCATCAGCTACATCACGCATTTCTCTTAACTTGCTATCTTTTTTACCAACTGTAATTTCAAGACTTCTTTTTTTAGATTCATACATATTAGTACCAGCAGCTTCTTCAACCATAGATAAAATTTCAACAGGTTTCATATTTAAAACTTTAGTTATTCTACCTTGCATTATAATAAAATGAGGGTTGTTAACATTCATTTGAAGGGAATTAAAAAAATCCATCACTTTTTTAGCTGGAACAGTAATTCCATTTATTTTATATAAATTTTTTGTACCAGCCATACCGACTTCACGTGAAATAATAATTTCATCATTATGTTCATATCGAGGAGCAGATCTAGATTTATCACGATTATCAAATTTTATACTAACAGAAGCAGACTGAATTCCAGCTTGACCACTTTTATAGATTACATCTTGTATAGAAGCAGCACGTATAGTATTCATTGTGGAAATTCCTAAAGTAAAACATATTGCATCTAGAATGTTTGACTTTCCAGAACCATTCAAACCTGTTATAGCATTGAATTCTGGATCAAAATCATTTAACTCAACACGTCTCCCATATGATTTAAAACCATCTATAACGACTGATTTTATATGCATCTCTCCTGGAATAAAAACATATTACTTATAATAATCATCATTTTCAATTTGATATTTTTTTCCTATAAAAATGTCAAAAAAAAAATACTAGTTCCTAGTATTTTAGGATTTTATATTTCCTAATATTTAAAAAATTAATACCTTCTCAGCTTTGCATCGAAGCTAATAATAAGTAACAATAGAAACCTAATAAAGTTTGGTCTTGTAAACTTTTTTAAAGTATTTTTTACACTATTTATTATTTTTATCTTTAAATTGACAACTTGATGCATTCCAAAGGTTTTCTATAATCCCTAATAAAATATATTTTCTTGAATGAGCATATAATTAATTGGTAAAAAAGTAAATATTTTTCTCAATATTTCCTAATAAAAATAGTATACCTTTATTTATAGGACACTGTCAATTTTTTATAACACATATATTCCAGTTTTAATTAATTATAAATTTTTATTAAATATTAGGGGATCTAATATTTTTTCTAAATTCAAGAAAGTTATCAAGTAATGGATATATAAATGTTGGATATCTGAAATTTATATTTACATAAAATTAAATTAATATCTATTTTTAAATTGATCATTAAATAATTAATAGTGGCTTGTTTTAATTATTTTATTAGACATGAAATTATATATTAATGCATAATAAATAGTTAATTATTAAAATAATAATTTTTAACTTATTTTGATTTCTTTTAAAATTTAAATATTTATTTAAAACATATGGTAACTTATCACTTATTAAAAATATAATCCTTAAATCTTTTGAATACAATATTCAAACAGATATAATTAATACAGACTTTACCAAATCTTTTAAAAAAGTTAATCATGAAATCCTATTTAGTAAATTCCAATCATTTGGTTTTGCCGAAACTTTACTTTTAATTTTTAATGTTATTCTCAAGATAACTCAACAAAAAGAATATAACCAAATGACTCAATCATAAACGTGCATAATTATATGTGCCTGTAATGACCACCTAAATACTATATTTTACAACTTAATATTTAATCAATAAATCATAAGTATATACACTCATTGAACAAGTAAATTATTATAAACACATTTATGAATTTTGGAGCACTGTCTTTCATAATCTATTGAAAAATACACAGAAACTTATGTGGTCAAAACTAATATACTTAAATTAAATTACTTAAGTATTATGAAAGAAATCGCATTTTATAATTTTCAAAATTTAAAACAAAATTTTAGTATGTATTTAATTAATTGGAGACAAATGCTTTTTGTTTAAGATACACCTATATCATTTACAAAGACAAATGACGCATTTAAATAAATACATGATCAAAAGTACTCCATTTTTGTTTTAACTATATTTTTATTTTTTTTACTTACCGCTTGTTTCTTTCTAGTATTAGAATATTTTTAAACTTTTAATTGTTTATTATCAATGGAGACATATTTAAAAATCATTTTTCCACTTAAAAAAATTTGAAGAAGTTAAGTTATTTAAGTAAAATATTTATGATGTATAAACTATTTGATAGTACCAATATAATGTAAGAATGAATTTTTAAGCACAATTATTTGTGATTATTTAACCGCCAATTTTCCTTATCTCGAATAAGAATATCAAGATTTGTAGATTATATGATATTATATTCTGTGATTATATGATCAGGCCTTAGATACTTCATATTACAAATAATATGACAGACTATATGAAAACAGATAGTTCACTTGGCCCGATAACAAAACGGTGTTTTGATTAGAAGAAGTGAAATCAGTGCAACCATATGTATGAACGCAAAAATTCTTTTAATTTATTTCATTATTAAATCTGCTGTAGCATAAAAAGTATGAAATTCCGTAAATAAACATGATTATTGACATAACTTATTTTAATACATCATTCAATTAAGGTATTAAACCCATAATCCCTTATTTATGACTCAAAATCCCTAAGAAAGTCATGAAAATTAAATAATTCTCAGTTTTTATAATGTAAATTATTAACTACTTAAATTTGACTTGAGCAGTTACAATTGTTTTTGTTTCTGTACACGAATACAAATTAAGGGATCTATAGATGCGGGCTTCCTATTTTAGTAGGGTCTGAGGTAAAATTTCTATAGAAGAAAAAACGATTTTAAGTAGTAATTGGAATCAACTTTATACGTTATAATTAATAACATACTATTCGGCCGGCAAAATGTAGGGGGTCTAGATACCTCAAATACATTTACTTATGTATATTTGTTTACCTATCCCAACCATGAACCTGTTCTAGTCCTGCACTAGTTAAAATGTAGGGTGCTATTGTTCTAGAACAATAGCACCCTGCGTAAGTGTCATCTAGACTAAGGAGCACAGGTAGAAACCGTTACTCCAAATCATCGCTATTGTTAATCAATATTCCTGCGTCCCCCTAGCGCATACCTTTCATGGTGTCTTCGATACTATCTATTTTGTGTACGTTGACACTCGTGTTTTGCTCTTTAGTGTGATCACATGTATCTTATTTCGTGTTATATTTGGTGCTTTCTTTCAAAATATCTCACTACCTCACCAGTATGCGATGCTCAGTGAAGTTTTGTCCAAGTACATATTCCTTCAAGGATAAAAGCTTTTTTTCTTATCCTAAAGAAAACGATTGTTTGAAACTATGGATGAATAATTGTCAAACTAATCATTTGGCAGAGACTTTATCCAAAAAAAATAATCTTGTAGTTTGCGCGGATCATTTTGAGGATAAAATGTTTTCGAAAAAGACTACAAACATTTGGCTGGTACATGATGCAGTACCTACAATATTTAGTGGTCAGTATTTATTTATTTTTTTTAATTATTTGTAAAATAATTATTTAATGTAATTTAATTATCTAAAATTAATTAGTAGTTAACTTTTAAAATTAATTTTTTTCTCAATTTGTTTTAAATTTAAGATCTAAAATTATAATTTCAGAAAATAAAGAAAAATGGAAATATTTTTTTATTTTATGTGTTTATTATATTATATAAAATAATTGTTAAACAATAAACTTGATTCACTGAAAACAATCCAGGGGTTCCTTTCAACAAATGACTTATCATAACAATAATAATAATAATTAAAAATTAAAATTGTAAAATTTATTATATATTATTATTTATTATATCTAAAATAATTCAAATTTTATAAAAAAATATAATACTATTAACAGTTTTAGTATTATTCATAACAATTTATTATTTAATTTTAGATAACATAATTTTTCAAAGACAGCAGGAAATCATAGAACGTTGTTCAAATTCTGGACCTTCGACTTCCCAATCAGAGAGTGCATCGGTTGATCAAAGTGGTTATGAATCTCCTGCATCATCAAGTGATTCGATCATTCAAACTCCATTATACTTTTCAAATAATACTCCAAGGAGGCTGAAATTGAAGACAAAACTACAATTTGAAAAACGGAAAATTAATGTTTAATTCAACATTCTTGTGAAATATGTGTAAAATATGCTAAAAATAAATAAATTAGATAATTCATTTTTATTATGTTACTTTAAAGCTTATGAAAACCAAGAATTATCATTATTCGGAAATTTACAAATGCCTCATGAAGATTTTTATAAATACTTGTATAAATTAGAAACCATTTTTATAGAAAGTTTTCCTATTTTATCTGTTGAAAAAGGAGTCTGTGATAAACTTAAATTACAAATGCTAAATATTATCTATGACCATCCATGTACTAATTTTGACAATGATTATCTTATAAAACTTTTTATTAGTTTCAAGATTCATTCTACAATAAAATTTCTAAATAGAAACTTAGTATCCGAAAAAAAACTTAAAAATAGAAAATTAGCAATTCTCCAACATTTATAAATTAACTTTTTTTCATCAACACATACATTTTTTTAACTATAAATTTTTATTATTATTAAATTTAAAATTAAATTATTTTTCTAGGTGTACGGAATGGTTTTTTTTTCATTGAGGACTGTTTTGTTGGGAAATTCAGAGATACTTAGTCATAATAATATTGTGAACATAATTTTTTATATTATGTATTGTTGTATTATTTTTACCAATATATATTTTTTATTTTTTTATTTATTATGAATTTATTACTAATATATTTTTTTATTCAATAAAATATTAATTTAAATAAATAACATTTGTTGTTCAAATTATTATACAATACCTTATTTGATCTTTTACAATTTCCTATAGAGAACAAATAAATAATGTGTATTTGACTTGATTGATAAATAAATAACAGTAAGTATATCCTAAAAAGGTAAAATTTAATTTAGATTGTACATCATAATGATACCAAGTGTACTTACCAAAAATTACAGCTTCATATATTATAGATAAGACTAACTAAACGTTGACAAAAAAATTTATGAAATAATAAACTACACAAAATTTTAACTTTCATACAAATTAAACACAATATTCATAATGTCAGACAATATTTAATAAAAAACATTTTTAATAAGACTAAACGTTATTAAAAAAAAATAAGTATACGAACAGTTATAATTAATTATTGTATCAAGTATTTAAAATGCAATAGTGTTACAAATTCCAATATCATTGATAATTTTTGTAACTGATAGAGGAATTATACAATATTATTGTAAAATATTTGCACAATAATATGAAATTGTACAACAGTCTTTACTGCTTTGTCTTCTGCCCAATCAGAGAGATTAATTTTTATTCTATTGTTCTCGGTTAAGTGAAGTATCTGTTTTCATATAGTCTGTGATAATAATTGGTGGCCATTTTTAAGTGGGTAATTTTATCAATTTACTACAGTGATAACAAATAAAAATGTGGAATTATCCCAAGAGTATATTTAAATATACTTATTACTTACTTTTATTTATTATTAAATTTTAAAAAACGTTAACATAGTTTATAAATGTAGCGTTTTGGATAAACTAATTTAACTGCCACAAAACGACGAACTGATTTAATCACCTCCATATATGTCTTGTGTAAATTTTTATCACTGCCCATTCTGTATATTCTATAATATAATCTATAAACCTTACATTTCCCTGTGGATAGAAGATAAGAATACTTCCACTGCCCCTCTGCCGTGTATAACAGTCGACTTATGAGGTTGCCCTAGGTCAACAGTGGGCGTAAAATTTTGTCAAAAGGTATGAGGAGTTCTGAACAGAACCTAAGCGGATTGTTCCATCTAGGATGTACGTGGGGACTAAAACTGAAAGGAAATTTAGTAGTTAGAAACGAAGTAAGCCTAAAGAATAAAGTGTTTGATACTAGCCGGTTTACTTGTACGGTAACTGTTTACTCATATGTACAGGCTTACCCAACGTATATAGTATCGACGGTGTAAAAACATCATCACTTATCTCTAGGCTAGACTCATGTATAATATGTATGTATAAGGAAGAAAGATAGATACAACGTAAGAATAGGTACGTGGAATGTTGGAACATTAATTAGTAGAAGTATTAAAAAGGAGAAAAACAAATAGGTGAGGGTTATACAATCAGGTAAGACCAATACAAATAATGGTGTAGGGATAATAATGAATGAGGAGATGAAAAATAAAGTAGTAGAAGTAATTAAGAAAAGTGATAGTATTATAATCGTAAAATTAATTTTTGAAGAAAAAGTGTTGAATGTAGTAAGTGCCTATGCATCACAAGCAGGATATGATGAAATAGATAAAGAATTGTTTTAGAGATAGATGGATAAGGTAATACAAGGAATACCCGGTAATGAGTATGCGGTGAAGGTGGACATATCGGTAATAAGAGGAGAGAATATGAAAGAGTAAAAGGAGGATATGGTTTTAATCGGAAAAATGAAACCGGAGAAAGAATCCTGGATCTCACAGTATATACATTCGATCTTGCTATGGTTAATACTTAATTTAGAAAAAGGGAAGAACATTATATAACTTATAAGAGTGGGAGTACTAAATCACGGATAGATTATTTTATGTGGAAAAGAGAGAGCGTAAAGTGAGTAAAAGATTGTAAAGTTATCCCAGACGAGAGTGTAGCTACACAACATAGACTGATAGTAATAGAGTTGTGGTGTAGTTGGAAAAGAGTATACAAAAACAGAAAGAACACAGGTAAAGGATCAAGGATCCGGTGATGAAAATTGAAAGAAGCAAAGGCTATACCTTTGCTTACTTTATTTAAAATAAAGAATGCATATAATATAATTTTATTTAACACTCAAAAATAGCATCTAATTTAGAAAATTTTAATTCTGCTTTCAAAGTTCTGACCAAACTATTAGGTAACTATTTTAATTTAAATCAGGTATAAAAAAATATCATGTCAAAATGAAAAATTTTCTAAAATATTATTACATATTTTATTTATATATGTACTTATTTTATAAAAAATCTGGTGTCAATGATAAATGAATGGTATATGTATTATAAATATTCTAAATTCTTTTCGCATGGGAAATGTTATCGCTTCATTTATGTATGACATTACACTCAATGTTTAATAAGTAAAGAAACAGGTCAATTGTTACAAATAATGAGAACAATAGAAACCCATTTCCTTACTTACTGAACACATTATATACAATGTATAATATACAAACTTTTTTTTCCTACCACAGTAGTATTTAAACTATTTGTTGAAACCAAAATATATTATGTAAATTAAACTACACTTACTACACCGATGACAAAATGCAATATTAAAAAACAAGATTTAAAAAACTGCAATTATTTACACAATAATATAAGTAATTATTTTATTAGTTCTAACAATATAATTAAGAATGATAATATCTGCTTGGTGATGTTAATATCATCCCTCTGGGATGTTATTAACACCCCTGAGTACTATATTGCCAATAGGGTGCTAAGTAGCCTTAACATCCCGCTATTTGTGCCTATGGTAAAATACGATCTTGTTAATAATTTGAAGGGATAAAGACGATTTATACTACAAGCAACATTGAAACAAAGTGAATAAATTTTATTTTTTTAAAAAATCGCTATAAATTATTACATTATTATTATTTATTATTTAAACAGGGCATGATTAAGATTTATATGAACCCTTCTAAATTGAAAAAACATTTTTTTGAACTTAAATCATATTGCATACGCTTTAATTCAGTATCTTTTAAAAGGTCATGATTTTCATAATGTAGTCACAAAATAAAAAACTAAAGACATGATCTGTAGCTATATTCAAACTTCAATTTTATTAATGTTCTTAATTGGATTTTCAAATAATATGTTAGAAGAAAGTTAATTGTCTAGACTATAATAAAATTTCATGTATTTTCATGCATTATTTTATATGATCCATGTATTTTAAATTCGTATAATTGAATGGCCAATCCTGATATTTTGATATCAGAATCGATAATTTACGACAGGTGCCATTTTTGGTATATTTTCACTAATAAAAAAAAAACGTAAAAGGATGTTTTCAGATAGGAAATTCCAAATCGTTCGACGTATTTGTTGTCTATATTAGTCCAGTAAAAGTTGAGTATTAATAAGACAGACAGAGTATTAATAAAAAATATCTTGGTAAAATTAATACCTACATAGATTCAATTTGAGGCTAAAATTTGATCGTGGTGAGAAGACATTAACCAGAATTTTATTTGAGGGGTATCAAAAAAAAAATGTTTTTTTCGGCTACTAAATTCTATAAACCTTATAGAATAACTAAAATGTATGTTTAAAATTTTTCGAGGTCTATTAATTCTTCTTGGTTAATTTCGAGTTGTCAGTGGTATACAGAAATAATTCTTAACTCCCTTTGCACTTCTGTAAATTATGAAAAAAGGTGTTCTACCTTATCTTGTAGTTAAAAGGTTTACCAGAGACTCGCAAACCCTAGCGACGGAACTGATCAGGTTTTTTTGAAGTATATTCATATTTGTTCAACTATCTAGTAACTATTCCTCGTATTTTATGAAATATTAATTTTCAGCAGTGTTGAGAAGGAACTGGTTCCAAAAGGAACGGATTCCTGGAACGAGTTCTTTTTGAAGGAACGATGCTAGGAACTGCTTTCTTTTAAAATAAAGGAATATTTAGAATTACCTAATCTATCTAACACATCTTGTATTAAAGGTAAAGGCATTTTATCTCCCACCGTAATATTGTTTAATTTCCGATAATCCACCACCAACCTATACTTTTGCTTCCCAGTGGCATCTAATTTCTTTTTAACTAACAAGATAGGTGAATTCCGAGGCGATTTACTTGGTTCAATTATACCATCTTGTTTCATTTGATTAATTTGCCTACCGATTTCATACCGTTGACTATGAGGTAACCTATAGTGACGCGTATAAAGAGGTAACTGTCCACTAGGCACTTTTATATCGTGACTTATAGAATCAGTACTCGTTAACTTATCCCCTTCTAAATAGAATATATTAGCGTACTCTGCACATATGGATATGATATTATTTTTCTCTTCAACATTTAAATGTTCTAAACGCAATTCAGTCATCAATTTATCACGCCTATCTGACCCCAAGTAATTGTTATCTATTTTATTTTCAACATTTGTACTCATTACTAATTCTTCATTAAATATTTCATACTTGAAATCGCTTAAATTCAGAGGCTTAATCGTTTTTTCTTCCTCAGATAAATTAATTACATTAACCAGTATTTTTCCATCTTTAACAATATTTAATACATTTCCCACAATAACTTTTTCAGCAATCTCTTTACGATTTATTAATACCGCTACTTTACTATCAACTATATTTTTATTTACTGAAACCGATGCTACATATTCTGACCAAGGTGGCAATTTAATCAAATTCTCCCGATAAAACGAAATAGTATTTTTCTTTATATTAATAATTGTGCCTTGTTCTTTCATGAATTCTTGCCCTAAAATACCCGCTTTTAAAAATGGAACCTTTTCATCAACTATATAAAATTTTATCATACCCAAATCAATTTTATTCACTTTGATTGATATCTCAACTATGCCTATGGTCTCTACCAATTCAGCATTGATCCCTCTTAAGTACACGTTTTCCTCAGGTATTAACTTCGTGTTATCAGTTAAGCTTTTTAAACTAATAATGTTAACACTACTTCATGTATCTAACAAAAACTCTGCACTAGGATCTATAAAATTCGGCGACTCACACCTAATATGGTTCCCATCCATTTCTACAGTAATTCATTTTACATCATGCGGTTTTCTTAAATCTCCAACCTCTTTTGGAAAACTTTTCTCCCTTGGTTGACTAGAACTACTTGAACTCGACTCTGGATCAGTAGTATTATTATTTGGACTATTTTTTCTACTATTTTCTGCATTCTTTTTCTTAAAACATCTATCTATTGTATGACCCCCTTTTGAACAATATTTGCACACCACGTAAGTATGCTCTACCACAGTCTGTTTTACATTGTTTCTATTTCTATTTCCATTTCTATCATTCATTCTACAGTCGCGATGATATATATATAGTGATGATGGACATTATCAGTATACTAAATTGCCCATGGGTTTCGGCACCAAAATTTCCTGTGGCGAACCGGTAAGGCTCGCCTGAGGGAATTTAATATTTATTTGTTGTTCGGGTTACCGTCCGGACTCCCAATTGAGCTATCCGCACAGAGTCCTTCAAGATGTATATAGGAGATAGTGATTATTTATAAATAAATAAATTTAACACTTTCGAAATAATGCTGGTTATAAATATTAAAATGTATTATAAGATAAATATTACGTTACAAAAGAAATATAACAATTAATATAAATGTATAAATGTATAAATATATATATATATAAATAAAGTAAACTTTCATAATAACACTGCAAGTATAAGAATATGCTTTACAATTATAGTGTTTATTCTGTAATGGTAGACACTAGACTGACTAACGCTAGAAAATATTGATATAGCCAAAATCAAGGGGACTTCCGCAGGCGGATGTCCCTATCAATCATACATATATTTATATTCACAAGATAAATTATTTTATAAAGTGGTGGTAACAAAACATTAGATATTAAAATATTAAGGTATTTTTAGTTGACTTTTGACAATGGAAGTCCCTTATATACCCAGCCGAGATGGTAGGCTGTTTAAATGAATCAATTGACTATAAATAGAGTTATTATCACATGTAGGTATACAGTAAATATTTAATATACAGAGTGTTCAGTAAGTTAGGAAACAGTTAAATTGTTACAAACAATGAGTACAATAGAAATTCGTTTCCTGACTTACTGAACACCCTGTATGTTAAAGGTTTTGGTTTTCTGATATATTATTTCCAACTTATATGTAGACAATAGACATTGGTCGCGTTGACACAAGTCGTTAGCATTTACTACCTGCTTATAAATATAATTTTCGAATACTTTTAGATAAGGAATACTACAAATTTGTTTGCATTCGACCGCTGATGAAAATCATTGATGACCGTTATCATGATCTCATTGCCACAATTTTTTAAATAACTTGGTTACATAAAAGGAACAAAGAGTGGAACGAGTTCTTATTTTGGAGGAACTGGCTCTGGAACAAGTTCCTTCTAAATATACTAAAAAAGAACTAGGACCTGGAACGAGTTCATATTTTAGAAAATTAACGGGGAACGGAACGAGTTCCATTTAAAAAGGAACTTTCCCAACGCTGATTTTCAGAAAAATGATTTATAATCGTACATATTTTTTTAAATAGCACTCTAAACACAGACTATATAAAAGTATATAATATATTTATTATAGCCTGTGCTGTAAATTAGGTCTAATTAAGTTTTATAATTAAGTCTAATCTTATCAATGTCAATTTCGGTTGAAATACGGTTCGGTCGTTTTATTTTTCGCCTGAAATACGCTCTCCCGCTTCTATCTATACCTATCAACTATTTACAGTAAACCGGTTTCTCCTTCATAAAGCAAGCCTTTCAGCTCACAACACGCAGTCTGTAATCAGAACGTTCTAATAAATTTTTGACTTTGTAAAACAATGTGATATTTGTTACTTTGATATAGGTATTAAAAATTGTATAATGTGACTTGTGAATGACAAATTTGACTATTTTAAATAAAAAAATTATTTGAAAAACTTTTTATTATTTAATAAAAAATTATATTATTTTAATTTTTTTAAATTGTTAATTTTGTTTTTAATCTTCTATTAAATATTTAATTTATATTTTCATTGCTTAATGAGAGTTTATAGTTAACAACCTGTTGTACATACAATTTTCAATTAATATTATTAATGTGACAGAGTATATGTCACTTAATGAGCATTATGTATGCCTTAATTGAAGTTATGAGTCGTAGAACTGTTAATTATTGTAGACTGATATGTAGTAATACATCAAAATTTCAAAAGAATCGGTAATTATACATTTTCATTATACTTTAATATTTAATACATTTTTGCTTTTAATAAATAATCTTTTTAGATACCTAAGTATGGTGCGTCCTCCTAAAGTACCACCAGCTATTGTTGGTACAGCAGTTAGTAAAGATGATGCTAGAGATTTTATGGCAGTTTTTCCAGATGTTGTCAGAGATCTTACAGATACTGGTCGTCATTTAGACATTCCTGATGTAACCAAGTGGATTACAAAAGTTAGTTCAACTTATATAGTCTTCAGGTTGATATTGTACAATTATTGTATAAGTATTGATTTACGTTTTAGTTACTTCAATATAATGTTCCTGGCGGAAAAAAAAATCGTGGGATGGCTTTAATACTTTCATATAAAATGCTAATCAAAGAAAATGAGCTAACTGATGAAAATATTAAACTGTCATTTATTTTAGGTTGGTGTGTTGAAATTGTAAGTAAATATAAAAAACAATTTTTTAAAGTTTTACATAGTTTTTTTCTATGTAAAGCAAAGCTTAATTTTTTTAACTTATGTAGTGATTGATTTATGATTAACCATTTGGTTCATTTAAAAAAATAATAGGTTTAAGAAATAAATTTATTTTGAAAGAATTTCTTTATTATTTTTTTTAGTAACATTTATCTTGCCATTTATGTATTGCTAAGTATTTTGTTTTAAATCAATCACTAAATCAGAAAACAATAAAAGTAGCGTAATCCTTACACAATAAATATTGGTTTTATGTATAGGATTTTTTAATGAAATTTATTGTCAATGAATTTACGCTGATAATTTTATTGATAAAAATTTATAAGTATTTAACTTTTTTAATATTTTTTAGTTTTAAATTAATATTATTTTTAATATAGATTAATATTAAATAACTTAATTAAGCCAGTCACAAGAGTCTTGAAATTATCAATCCCCTTAAATATATTTACAGAAAATTATTGCATAAGCCCATGAGATTAAGAATCAATGAAATTTAAAATAATCTATTGAGGGTTTTAAAAATAAAGTAATTTTTTTGTATTAATCGAAAATTTGTTTATCGTCATAATTCTGTATTAAAAGGTTTTTTTTAATTTCCTTTATATAATCAAAAAAATTTTGAAGATAACAATTCATTAAGATGTTATTAAGAGGTAAAACACAATTTTATAAATTAGGATTTAAATGTATGTCTTAAAGTTTAATAACAAATATAAATTGATTATTTAAAAAAATTGCAACCAAACTCATAATTAAATAAAAATATACATTTTCATTTGAAAAATGAAATTAAACTTTAATAAAGTTTATATATTGGACCTAATACTTATAAATTTATAAATGGAAAAATATACACGGTTAATAAAATTAAAAGTAGACCATGTGGTAACGTGGCAATGTTTAATGTACACTACCTTTGGTTCAAAACTCGGTTATGGGTGGTTTCATTTGCAGAGTGAGAGAAAATTTGGTAATTGGAGTAATTAACTACCCATTCCGGAGTATCAATGGTTAAGAAACCTTAATTAGCTTATAAAGTGTTATGAAATAAGAATAATTCTCAATGTTATTATTTTAAAAGAACTTGAATAGTTTTTGTTTACCATAATTCAATCATACTGTATGTACATATCAATTCTGTTAGCAAAATAAAATGTTTACTGTGTTTCTTTTATTTATTTATTTTAGTGTGGAAACGAGTAGTTATTATTTAAATGTAGTTTGTAAAAAAAAACTGAATTGAAAAGAATTTATTATGAATTGAGTTTTTAAAATTCAATATTTTATTGTATCATAAGTGACAAAGAGAAATAATATCCTGGAACCAGATTTTAACCTTAGTTAGAATTGAATAATAATTCTATTTTTGAGTTGACACTGATAATTGATGTTAATTTTTACATTATTTTTTTTAAAATATTGCAAAGAGTTTAAAATCATTTTTAGTTACAGGCTTTTTTATTAGTTATGGATGATATTATGGATAATGCGATTACAAGACGAGGACGTCCTTGTTGGTATCAAAGCAATGAAAATGGTTTATTAGCTATTAATGATGGAATACTTCTAGAACAAGGATTATACCAAATAATTAAAAAATATTTTCATGATAAACCGTATTATGTGGATATTTTAGAGTTATTCCATGATGTATTGTATAACCTCTTTTTGAAATTCCTTCAAATCTCGCAAATTATTTTTATTTAATGAGTAGGTTACTATGAAAACTTCAATGGGGCAATGCCTTGATATGTTGACTGCTAATAGTTTTAAGGTTAATAGGTTGAAGAAATTTACTATGGAAAATTACTCATCTATTGTAAAATACAAGACTGCATACTATTCATTTTTTTTACCCGTGTGTTTGGCCATGCGTATGGTAAGAAATTTTTAAACATAAGAATTAATGTTTTACTCATTTTCTAATTTGAATAGCTTAATTTACTTTATAAATTATTTAACATTATCACATTTTTTAGGCCAATATAAATGATCCAGAAGTTTACAGACAAGCCAAGACAATACTTCTTGAAATGGGTCATTTTTTCCAAGTTCAAGTATAATATGAAAATATTTTAAATTTTGCTTTCACATGTTATTAAAAACAAAAAATTTGTAATATTTTTCATATAATATTAGGATGATTTTTTGGATTGTTATGGAGACCCTGAAGTCATTGGAAAAATTGGAACAGACATAGAAGATGGAAAGTGTTCATGGCTTGCAGTAGTAGCTTTACAGAAAAGTAATTCTCAACAAAAAAGAATAATGGAGGTATAAATAAACAAAAAAAAATTGTTTTAGAGTTTCTTTTTGTCATATATTAATGGGTTACCATTGGTATAATTATTAAACACTAGGGATAACTACAGAATAATTTATTAGAATTTGCAAAAATGATCGACAACAGTTTAAGTCTTAGAGTAATGATTTCCTCCAAAATTCATGCAAAAACCTAAATTTTACTGAAAATAGAATATTAAAAAAAATTTCAATAAGAAAAAAGTTCATAAATATATATATATATATATATTTATTAGGGTGGATCAAAAAAAGTCTATCATCAAAATTTTAATGAGGACTCTTATAACTTTATTATATACATTCAAATAAACATTTTGTGATAATTTGAGATTAAAAAAAAAAAAATTTACTGGATGCTCAATGTGTTTTTAGTATTTTGACCAAAAACACCCCAAAAAAAGCCTCTGTTATTCAATTTTTAGTCAAATATTATGATTAGTATATCACAAAAGTTTGATTCTTACTGTAGAATACAAATTTTTTAGTTTCAAAATTTTAAGTCAAAAATTGATAGCGTTCATATCATAATTAACATCATTATATGGTATATTTCTAGGAGATTTAAAGTAAGCTTAAATTTTTATTTTATGCAGTTTAGCTGATATTTATGTATATTATAAGTAGAAAAAAAATTGTTCACTAATCTTAAAATCTTAAACGTTATTTTGTAAATAAAGTGCAAGTTGAAATATATGATATTCTTGAAAATATTAATAAATGATGTTTGATCATTAAATACTTTTCAAATATATTTTTTTTATTAAACATTTCATTTATTTTAAATTTAATAAATAACATTAAAATACAATTTTATGTTATGATAAAATCATACATATAAATTTAATTAAAATTATGAATGAAAAATCCTTAATCTATTTAAAGTTACAAATTTACTCGATTTTAATAGCAATCTTTTGAAAGTTTTTATAATTTGATTTAAATAATTTTTCTTAAAAAAAGTATATTTGAAAAATATTTAATGACGACCGTTATTTATTAATATTTTCAAGAATATCATATATGTCAACTTACACTTAATCAAAAATAGTATAAGTTTTTAAGATAAGTAAAAAATATATATACATAAATATCAGCTTCACTGCATAAAAAAATTTTTTTTTAATAATAACCAAAAATTGAATAACAGACCGTTTTTTGTTTTTTTGGGGTATTTTTGGTACTTATTTACTAATATCAAACAAATTATCGAAAGGTATTCAGAATATGTTTTTGAATGTTAATAAAAATATATATTCAAAATATGTTTTTGAATGCTTGAAAAATATTTATTGTTAACTAATTGAATTTTTTTTATAAATTACATTTTTATGTTATTCTGAGTGTCACAACAATTCCGCACCAGAACAATTGAGCATTGGGCCCCCAATAGTTGGGATAAAAGCTAAAAAAATTATTTATTCTTAGTATAGTCATAATTTGATTTTTTTTTGTATTTGGCATTATTACTTAAATGTCATAGATGTGTTTAAATTTTTTTTAGGAAAACTATGGAATTAATGATCCTGATAAAGTTAAAGTTATCAAACAATTATACGACGAATTAAAACTTCCTAGTACATTTCAACTTTATGAAGAAGAAAGTTATAATATGATATGTACACATATTCAACAAGTATCACGAGGCCTATCCCAAGATTTATTTTTTAAATTCTTGGAAAAGATATATAAAAGGACTCTATAGTACCTAAGGATATTTTTATTAAAAATGTCAAGTTTAAAAAAAACATTAATGGTGCCTTTAAAAAATTTATTTTAGTTTAATGTTTTTATATATATAATGTTTAAGTTTACATCACATTAAATTTGTAAAAAACTTATTTATAGAACTAAAATTAGTTAAAATTTAAATAAATTATAATTATTATACAAATTTAACAAGCCAAAGCTTATTTACAATAGGCAAAGAAAAAATTTACAATACATAGAACTTATTATACAATAGCTAAATATTATAAGCTTACAAAAAAAAAAAACAAATCAAAATGAATGATATATTCATAATTATATTATATTAAATATTTGTATTAATTTTTAAAGAAATATATTGTATTTTTAATAAAATGAATATAAATAAATATCAATAATTTTCCACAAAATAAAATAATAATTAGGGGTACAAATGAAACCCTTTTACCTGTACCTGTAATTCTATGGTTCCTAAGAATAAATGATTTCTATCAACTACAGGAACTTGTTTACTAGCAACTGATTTGAGAACACGTAACAAATCTGATGTAAATCTACGCATTTGAGCTTTATGAGCTAAAGTCATAAATCGTTTATTTCCTTCCCCAAATACCTATTATACATCCAAAATGTTTAAGTTAGACTGCATTTTATTATTAGCTAATTCAATATATGAGATAAGTCAAAATAATAATAAAAGATAATTTCATTAATTTAAATTTATAACTAGTTTGTTAAAGAAGGGTAATTTTTAATCAATTTTTTAAAATAAATACTATATACTGTATAAATACAGCTTAGAAATTATAGATTTTATTTTTGTCTTATTATAAAAATTCTTAGCTTTCACTGAACCAATATTACTGATCTATACATCAAAAGAATCCAAATTATATCTAGTTGTAGACTTAAAATATCTAAAAAAAATTATAATCATTAAAAACAGCCATTTTCACAATTCAAAATTACTATACTTTTTTGGATTGAAACAAAATCTTTATCATCATATATATTGGGGACAATAATGTTTTTTTTAATGCTATTTTAGAAAATCTAACAAAAGCCTACATTTATATTTACCTCACTTTGTCCTAATAGTGAAACTATGTAAGTGTAAACAATTTTTTTAGTAATTCTATTAATCATAATAATTTAAAGGAAATGTGTTGATGGTGAAAAGTACATACATAATGATTGATTTATCTTAACCACAACATTTCTCCTTAAATAATAATAATTTAGAAAATTTTTATCTAAAACAAGTAAACATTTTCTTCTTTTTCCTCGCTTTTATCCCCACTACTTGGGATCAGCCACCTTAATCTTAAACTACCACTTGACACGATCTCCCACATCAGCCTATCTCATATCGTATTCAATAACATCCCTCTATCTTTTTTTTAATCTTCTTCAACCTCTTTTTCTCAACATTAATTTCTATAACTGTTCTTATAGTTTCAGATTCCTCTTTCCTCATAACATGACCAAACCATCTTAATCTATTTTCTCGCATCTTATCCACAGTTAATACTACACCTATAGTCCCTCTTATATATTTGTTCCTTATCCTATCTTCTCTAGTTACTCCGCTTATCCATCTAAGAATACTCATTCTTCGCTCTTTTCTCTTGTTAATCTCTGAACCATACATTATAGCTAATTTCATTATAGAACTTACCTTTCAGCTTCATTGGAATTCTCTTATTGCATAACACACCAGACGCTTCTTATCACATCACTCACCCACACTTAATCATGTGTCTTACACCCTTGTCAATCCTTTGTTCTTTTGCACAACTGATTCTAAATGATTAAAACTTTCCACCTCTCCTATCACGTCTTTGCTCATTGTTACTGATTTCCTAATTTCACCTACCCCATATTCTCCTTTGTCAAACTCGTACTATATATACTTTGTCTTATTCCTACTTATTGTAAATCCCTTTCCTTCGAGAGCTGATATCCACACCTTTAGCTTTTGATTAATTTCTTTCCTATTTCCTCCTATTAACACTATATTGTCAGCGAACAACATGAACCACGGTACCTCTCTTTACTTTTCTCTATACATTTCATTCATCACTATACAAAAAAAAGTAAGGGCTTAAAGTAACACTCCTAATCTTACCCTAAAACTTTTTGTTACTCCTCCCACACATTTTACTCTGGTACAAGTGCCATCATACATATCTTCTATTATATTGATGTACCTTTTGGGACTTTTTTTCTCATTAATGCTACATTAAAACCACTTTCGGTACTCCATCATATATTTTATCCAAATCTATAAATATCATACATAACTTTTTATTCTTTCCCCTATACTTTTCTATTAGTTATCCCACATAAATAAATGGCTTCATTGTTAACTTACCAGGCAAAAAACAGACTGGTTCTTTATTACTAATGTTTCTCCTCTTATTATTTCTCTATTACCTTTTCCCAAATCTTCTCGCTATGACTCCACACTCTTTTGCCTTAAATATCGTTATTCCTCCATACTTTTGGTATTTTCCAAGATCCTTTAACCACCTTATGCCAACACCACCTAATATTTTCCATACTTTACTGGCCCTTCAAGGTTCTACTGCTTTATTTTTTTAAATTTTAATAGCTTCCCAAACCTCTTTTTCACTAGTTAAGTCTACCAGTCCCTTGTTCCATGAGAAATTCAGAAATGTCTCTCTTAAATACTCTTTATGCAGTAATTTTCAAAATACTCTTTTCATTTTTTTTTCATATCATCATCATTTGTTAGTATCCTCTTATCATCTTTTTATACATCTTACATAGTGATAATCTTTAAACTATTTTTTTCTTTTGCAAGTCTACTTCTTTTTCACCTTCCTTTGTTCCTAACCTATCGTACAACTCATTATACCTCCTAAAATTTTCCTTACCTACTATACACTTTCTTCTTTACATAAATTGTTTCATGTAACTTGATTTAATCATTAGATATAGAACATAGTTTTAGCTTCAATGAGTAGCTAAAAAACTATTGATTTACTCTATCTATTTTTTCTATTGTGCCTCTACACAGTTACTCCGCTCCTACAATACTATTTTTGCTCAACATGTCAAAAAATTACTAAACATATCTATTTAAAACTACCAGCGCCTAAAAAAATGTCTTCGTTTTCGAAAAAAAGGGAAATGTTTCAAAATATTTACAGCTATTATAACAGTCAATGTTGATATTTTTAGTTTTTACTTCATATTGAAATAACTTTTCAAAAACTAGAGGGATTATTGCGAAGTTTTTATTGATAATACTTCAAACATTTGACAAGAGACTAAATATTTTTTTTGAAAAGACATGCACCTTATTTCCAATGAACTATTTTAAAATACTCCGAAATACTGGTACGGCATAATAAACATCATTTTTTTTAAATGTTCAAAAATCTTGACTTTTTTAATCGAACGAGAAGATTAAATACAATGTACTAAGAAAAACAATATAAAATCTTGATTCCTAGGAATTTATTGTCTATTATAGTTAATAATCATATAATTTTTAGTCAATTTTGTAATTTTTTTGCATTGTAATGGAATACTTACATCATATAAATTAAAGCTTATTTTTTTAATATATGATAAAAAAAAATAAAAGGTTCTAGTGACTCGTTCTCTATGAGTAATCGGCCTCTTGATTATAAAATCATGCAACTATTGGTAAATATGATACATTTTTTAAAAAATTTGTTACACATCAAAGCATTTTTCAACAGTGGTTTTAGTCACTATCAACCAATACTGATCTAAATATATATCTCAACCCCACCATAATTAATCCTAACTGTACTTAAAAAAATTAACACTTTAAATCGACCTGAAGCATGTTATATATTTAGCTTTTATATCAAAGAACTTTATACATTTTATTGAAACTTTTAATAAAATATATTTTTTAAAAACATTATATCACTCAATTTAAATGGTATAACTTATTCATGGAAAGACTAAGGCAAGATTGATTTATGCTTAATTTTTTTTGTAAATGCAAAGTAAAGAACTGATTATTTGGATTATCTAATTTCTGAAGGATGATATGGTCGTGTCAGTAAAATGACAAGGCTTGATGCACAATGACTCAGGTTCAAGGTGTATAAAATTAAAAATTACAAGAAAAATATCTTTATAGCTCTATTATTATAACTTGTCACTACATGTATAAAAAGAAAACCTATTTGTTTTTACAAAGGTTTACTATTTATCATTCAATATTTAAAAACTATATAAAATGTATTGAAAATGAGTACAGGACTATTTTAAATGTGTCATAAAAATTGAAGCCGACATGATAACTATAAAAAATAAATGCCAAGATTAAAATAACAAAGACAACAAGAATATTGTTCTCAACAAAAATATAATAAATTAATTTTTTTAAAAATGAAGTGTATAACAATGTAATCTACAAACTAATATTGAATAAAATACATATTAAACTATCAACTTAAAATCCTAGTTTATTAAAGAGATGGAATAATTGAAAAATTGATACATAATTTTTTTTTTTTTATAAATGAAGTGATAAAAAAATATACATAATTTTTTATTAACTGATATATTATTTCTATATTCATTTAATTTTATTGTAACTGAAGTTTAGTTAACCCAAACCTTTTTAAGGTTCCTACCTACATATGTGAAATGTTTAAATTAAAAAAAATAAATTATAATACAGATTATACATTATAAACTCATTGTATTCCGATTATTCATGTAAAATTGATGTCCAGAGAATACTAGTGTAAATATGTAGAGACAAGCAGCAATCCAGCAGTTATATGCATTCTAAAAAAGTTAAATAAAAATTCATGATATATGAGGTAAATATTACATATAAGAAATTAAATATCAATAAATTATAAGCATTAAGTAATCTTTAAGCATCCACAAACAAAAATACAAAGAAAAAAAAGATAAGTGTTCTTCATCAATTAACTTAAAGTAATTTTTCTGTTAAATATTAATTTTACAATGTAAAAAATAAAAGTTCATGAAATTTAGCACTAACTGTGCCAATTTTGCTGATCAATATATATGCCGAAGATAACAAATTATATATAGTATAAGTCATTATCCTCAAAAAAATTACAAAAACTTCTCTTTCTCCATAAAAAGAAAAAACAACCTAAATAATAACTTTTGCAGAAATTAGCTATTTTCATAATTTTAGAATCTATTTATATTGAGATAAATTTTTAAAAAACTCATGGAACTTGGAACAGTTTTTTTTTTTTTGAAAAAAAAAACTTTTGAAATAAGCCTTTTTAAGGCTTAAATTATTATACTAAAAGAAACTCTCACAATTTTAGTTAAGGAAAATATAATTTAATAAAATATGCAAATATATTTCAATTTTTAATTTAAAAAATGCAAAGTCAAACCAATATTTTTATGAAATATTAAGATTTTAATCTATACTACTTTTTTTTTATCAAGTATCAATTATACTGCTTTTTATAATATAATAAATGTTTACCAGATAATATTTTATTTAATTATTGTCATGCCTATTTTGATTAGTTTAACGGCGGGTAAATATTTTCTGCTAAAAACCAAAATTTTTTACGTAAAAATAATTTTGAAGAATGATATTAGTGAATTATTACTAGGTAATTTTCTATAAAAATCAACATGGAATAAAATTAGTGCACATATATTTTATGACTAGGGTAGATCATTAAGATGTAGATGTGACATTCTTTTAAGTATAATTTAAATTACCCTATTACACATGCTACAGTTTGAATAGATAAATATTGTTTTATTTAAGAAAATTTTAATATATTTATACTTACTAAATAGTACAGTTTATCAGCTGCACTATAAAATTCTGCAGGATTTTTGAATTTGTGTTCTTCACTTATGTTTAAATCATCAATAAGAGCAACACTATGGATGTAGTAAAAAAATCCCATCAAAACCTATAAAAACCCCATTTATGAAAAATAACTTCATAAAACATTAATAAAAATATTTTACTTACCAATTGGATTATTCCCCAAATGCTAATTATAATCCCACAAAGGGATAGTTTTGGTCCACAGATTTTCATAATGGCGTCAAGTAATGCAAATAGGTATATTTTTAAAATAAACTCTCAAAGTAATTTTAAATGAACACAGTTTTTTTTATTATAGGTAGTTCAGAGTATGTTAATGATAATTTAAGTAAGCATTGAACGTCTTAAAAGTATCCGCCCAAAATCATTGATGCTTTATCAGTTTCAAAGGTATAAGCTATAGAACGACTATGAAGTTAGCAATTCCTATATAGCAATTCTTAATCAGATACAAAAAGGATATAAACCGCTAGAGGGCGCAACTTAGATCAAAAAATATTTTTTATTATATAGAACTTTTGACAAAGTTATGCAGGGTGTTCACTAAAAAATTATAATACAAATAAAAGCTTATAAAAATTACTATCGTATGGCATTAGTCAAAAATTGTAATAGAGTTTCCAAGTTACCCGTTTGTGAGAAATTGCTGGGCAATATCCGCAGTAATAACACACTATAGCCGTGATATCGATGTTACTATCTCCCACATTATTTACGCTCACATCAGCTGCCCTCAAATCGCATCAATAGCATCACTCCATCTCTTTTTTGGTCTTCCTCTACCTATTCTTCCTTCAAAATTAATTTCTACAACTGTTCTTACGGCTTCTGATTCTTCTCTTCTCATAACATAACCAAAACATCTAAAGTACAATACATTATCTTTAATTTAAGATATATATAAAAGTATCAGACTTTCCGGAACACTTTCAAAAGTTAAGTGTAAAAGTAAATTTTTTGTGATAAAGTTATCATTTTAAATCCCCTCCTGTGGGCAGGTAAAGGGTCAGATTTATAAAAAAAATATACAAAATGATAGGTAAAGAGATCATGCATCTATAAAAAAAAGAATTAAATTGATCCATACATTTTCCAAAAAGTTATAGCATTATTAAGTTAAAAATATAAAAATGAATTATTTTACCAACATTTTATTTTTTTTATTTACTTTGATGTCTATTTTCACCGTGAAGACAAAATAAAGTCCGAAATTTTTTTTTCCATAATAAAGTATATTACATTACCTTTAATTTAAGATATATGTAAAAGTGTCAGACTTTCCGGAACACTTTCAAAAGTTAAGTTGAAAAAGTTCTACTTTCTATATGCATTTTTCAGATTTGAACCCTCCTCGTATATAAGGAAATTTTGAAAATAAACTATTCAAGCAATTTAAATGGTACACATGAGTATCGAATCGTATTGTGATGGTGTCACGTTACCATTATCGTGAGAATTATTTTAATAAAATACAGACAGCACATCCGCTGCCTGAGACTGATGAATTAACAAATAATATTTATTGCCAATTTGGCAATAGTTCTAATTATTATAAAAACCCAAAAGACCTGACCATCGTGGTCAGTCGACTCCAGTGCCTTGTGTCATTCATCAGTCTCAGTACTCGGTTGTCGCTGTCCGGCTTACTGCTTAAAGTAAAGTCTTTGTTTATTCCTTTTTAAACCTATCTACTCTCTTCCACAACATTTCAGAGTACTTGTGTCTTGCACTTCGTCTGCACCTCATACCTATGTGTTACCCTGATTCCCTTCCTATAACAACAGCCTTTCGACACCCACAGCTAACCCGGAGTGTCAGCCGAGCACGGTGACTGTTGTACGACAACACGCACGTGAATATTTAGAGAGCAGGCACCACATCCTCATATTCATCTTCGCATCACAATTACTTTTACATCTGTTTTCCTTTCTTTTATTGTGTTACGACCGTATGGATGCGAATAACAAGATACTTTATTATTTTGTATTATTATTTATTGTGTATAAGATATTTTGTTTAACAATAAATCAAAGTTTTAGAATGGTTATTTAGGGTAATTTTTGTATTAAGAATACAACATATTAATTACTTTAATTTATTCTTATAATAGTTGTAATTGTATATTTTAAAACGAACTTTATTAGGCTACCCAGTAGTATTTTGAATATTTTAAATATAAAATAATACTATATTTCAAGATAGAAGTGTGATATCCGTAAATTAATTTATGAAGTACAAATTATTTTAATATCGATAAAAAGTTGAGTTGACGAGTGAATGAATTATACTATTACTAAACATATAGTAAATTAATAAAAAAGGAGTGCACTCATTAACCGTGTAAACCGGATTGGACCGGTAGCAATTGACTAGTGGTACTCAGGCAAGTTACCCCAAAATTTGGATAGCTTATTACTCGGTGGCTATTGGTTGTAGAGTCACCGAGTTTGCGGTGGCAATTTTAGTTTTAAGTCCCTTAAGTAGTACGCTATCACTAGAAGAGCGCAAAGGTTATACACAGTACTGTACATAAAACGAAACAAAAAATTAAATTTCGTAGAGGTGATTACGTAAGGGTTAGTTCGAATAAAGCCGTATTTGAAAAAGGATATTTGAGTAATTGGTCTTTTGAAATATTTACTATAGCAAAGGTATGCAACACTATACCAGTACCATATCTTCTCGAAGACTTTTAAAAAAATATGATTAGAGGGTGTTTTTATGAAAAAGAATTACAAAAAACCAAGTATCTGCATAATTATCTGATTGAAAAAATTGTACGACGTAAAGGAGATAAAGTGTTGGTTCGTTGGATGAGTTTTCCTTCAAAACATGATTCATGGATGAATAAAAATGAGCTTGAGAAATAAATAATTTTAATATTATTGTAAGATATTAATGTAAAAATTTATAATAAGCACTATTAATTGTATTTTTTACTCCATATAATAAATTATCAATATATATTTAAATATGTATATTTATTTAATCTTAAGGTGACATATCCTCTCTACCTATCTTTAATTAAACTGTGTGTTATTACTTTTTAAAATATAAAAGTTCATCCGAGCAGAATAAAATCTGCAAAACTAATAAAATATTCTTAGTTCACTCGTAAACGTTAACAGTAATGGATGTTTTTGGTTCATCATTAGAAAGTAAAAGAATAAAAAACATATGTAAACTAGAATCTAAATTAGCTAAATTAGAAACAGATATTATAAAAATTACTGAAACGCTTAGTGATTATCGGAAAATAATTGAACAAATCCACGGAGTAGAAGTTAAAATTGAAAATTTAAATACTAATTTTAACGCGATAGATTCAATTTCTAAATTACGATATAGTCAGCTAGAAGAACAGATTAATAAAACTAAAAGTTTTGTAAAATACAAAGCCTATACTGACTCTAGTGTACGTTTATTTAAATAAATATCGTTTAAAAAAACTAAAAAAACACGCTTTTAAAGCACATCGAACTAAAAAGTTAAAAATAATTTTTAAAATAATTATGAACAAAAAATACTATTATTGTGATAAAAGCGTGGGTGCTTTGTGCCATATTTTCGTATATTGAGCGCCCGACGATTTTATCACAATAATAGTATTTTTTGTTCATAATTATTTTAAAAATTATTTTTAACTTTTTAGTTCGATGTGCTTTAAAAGCGTGTTTTTTTAGTTTAAACTATATTTATTTTTCACTTTTTAGTTTCATGTGATTGTAGTAGTTACTATCAATATCATGGTTGTAACGGGTAACGGGAAATCAGGGTTCGATTCCAGGGAGTCTGAGAAACGGCTACCACATCCAAGGAAAGCAGCAGACGCGTAAATTACTCACTCCCGGAACGTGGAGGTAGTGACGAAAAATGACGATACGGAAATAATCTCTCGTAATCGGAATAAATACTTTATACCTCTTAATTAGAATAAAGCGTGTTAATATATAAATTTTAATAGTAATTAGAATACATATATATACAAGTAAAGCGACTTAAGTACGTAAACGTATCATGCATTAGGTACAGTCGTGTTTTGTGAGCGGGCAGGTCGGACTAACGTTATACCAGAGGTATAAATGGCGGTAGAAATATATACGTAAGCCGCATGCACGCGGATGATAATGGTCAGTCAAAATAAAAATTTGTTTATATATATATATATATATATATAATATTGATGACAAGCACGCGTGTACGGGTACAATAACCAAAAATAAATTTATACAGGAATAGTATTGCCGGCGTGTAATGAGCGAGGCGTAGGGTGGGGTAAATGCGTTATGACAGTCTAGTCTAGACGACGGAATATGCGATAACGCGTGGCGTTTTGAGAGTTACATACATACATACATACATACAGGTGAAACTAATATAAGCGTGTTAAAAACAAAACGCCCTAGAACAAGATCCGTATCCTCAACGTACTAGTTAACAAACTAAATAATGACTACAGCAATAACAGATTTTGAGTGTATATTGGGATCGAATAACGAGTATCTTATAAAAGAACTATTTGTAGTAGTTACTGACATTTATGCTACACAGCACTGGATATTTAAACATGCAACTCCAACAGATGAAAAAAGTCAAAATGTTAACGCGTGGTTGAAAAAGCACAGACATTCAATGCAACTTCATTACGGAGACGTAGAAATTAAAGAACTACCGAGAATTTTAAACTCGTTAAAATTTACAGACATATTTGTAAAAGGGTTACAAAAAAGAGACATTTTACAACAGTATATGCCACACGTAAATGTCATTAACATGGACGATATTGGCTGCCCTCGTATAACACAACTGTCAACAAATACTTCTTATCCATCATGTTTATTTCATATGAATTTAAATCCAACTTATTGTAGTTTTTATAAAATGTTTATGTTAAGAAATTGGAATATTGATAATTCTTAGTACTTAAAATATTGTTATATTTCACTATAATTAAATAATGTAATCAAATTGTATAATATTTTTAAAATAAAACTTATAAGTAACAAAGTAGTTGTTTACTTAGATAAACATCAATGATATAAAATATATATAAATTTATATATAAATAAAAACAGTATACTTTAGTGTATACTATAATTAAATGAATTATTTTACAACAGTCAAATTTTAAAGAACAAAATTACAAGTAATGAACAAATTATTTTAACAGTGGACGGTAATATAAATATTTTGCATAAAGTATGATTAAACATTAAAGTTGGCCAAACTACCTTGTTGTCTCAAACCCCTTAAAAATAAATAAACAAATTTGTAAATTAACATACATATATATATTACAATGAAATGAATAACTATTAAACTCACTCAATTTTATAGTGTCCGTGCGCTAACGTATGAATTTGATTCTTCAAAACAACTCGCTTATCATCATATCTATTCAATGCTAATTTTCTACTAGTAATAGATTTGATTTCATGCCTGTAAGATCTGAATGAGTTCATTTGTCTGTATGGAATGTAATCTCTAGGAATATCTTCTATTCCTTGAAATAGACTGTTCCTGGTTTGAATGGACTGTATAATATACGTTTTTTTTATTAATAATAGTATTTGTTTATTAATTATAATTATATTTT